AGTTTTAACAAGATTATTAGATATGAACATCAAAGTTATACCTTGAAAGGCTAAAACATTGTAGCATTTAATTAGATAAAACTTACATTTACCAGACGGCTGTAACAGAATCCATTCATAATAAATGCAAAGTGTTAGAGTCAAATGTAATTCATCTGGGTTTTATGTCGCACCAACACAGTGGAGGTCATATTCAACTGTTGAACTCATCTGCCCATTCACTGCATTTTTCCGGCATCAACTGATCCACCGACGTTCCGTAAGCTAGCTAGCTAGATAGCTTCATCACATGAAAAATGAAATCCTCAATTGGGATTTGAACCTATAGCGGCGTGGCCAGGTGTTGTTTTTTTTCACCACAAGTAACCGACGGTTTTATGTATAAACTTTCTGAATAAGCACTGAGAAAAAATATTCATAGACTTAATGTCCGAGATCAATCGCCACTAAAAAGTCGCGCCTTGCCGGCGTGTCGAACCTGTGATACTTTGATAACATAATTTGTCCTATCCCTATTGAGCTCAGCGGGCGTGTAGTAAAGATACATTGTATGCCATCGATGATAAACAAAACATATATAGTACATGTATTTAAATTATGATTATTATTTCTTATCATTATTGTTTTATATTTTTATTTACTTATTTTTATTTATTTTATTTCTATTTTATTTTATTATTATTATTATATTTTCATTTATTTATTTATTAACTTTTCTTCGAGATGCTTATAAGGAAATGTGTTCATAGCCGATAAATCAAATTACAAATCAATATGTCAAATATATCAAAGTGAGAACGAGGATTCACTATATATATGACAAATGATGAATGCTCTCACGATATTGTGATTATAACAAACCCATATCTTTAAAACAATCATTGTACTTGTTTTGACATATCACATAATTGTTATTGTTCAGTTGTGAAACAGTGGTAAAAGTTAACAATACTTGTCTGGTAGATATTTTAAATTACCACTTTCAAACAGGAAACAATGACGTCAATTTTTTCATTTTCTTTTTCAAATTGATTGGGAAATGGATGACAAAGTTTCAATAAAATGCTCAGGCTATGGCAAGTCAATGTTTACGTAAAATCTCACTTTACAAAGTTATTTATATCTTGTTCTTCATCTTTGGATTACTAATGGTGATGAGTTAGCATGTATTCAAGTTATAACCAATTAGCATCATCGATATTGCGTATCATCTTTTGTTATAGGTGATTGAATCAAGCATTTCATTCGCTATGATATGTTTTATTAATGAAAACAGGAGACTATGTTATATATCAAGCGTAAAATGTTATGGATGTCAGATGGAATTGTGCTGCTTTTTTAAAAAAAATAATCGTAACGAACAGAATATGGACTGAATTTAACAAAAAATAACCACGCAAAAGTACATATCTTTTTGTTATATATGTGAGAATTTTGTATTGCATCGGTTTAATTACTTTTGGGACATTTTGAATATGTATTCAATTCCGCTGTGAATTTTTGCCATAAAAAATCAAAGATTCAAAAATTATTTGGTTTTCTTTTAAATTGTGTAAGGGCTTGGCTGCAAGGGGAAACTTTGTTTGGCACTGAACTACAGAGTAAAATTTAAATATCTGAATTATTCCGATTTGACGAGCCCAACAAGGGCTGGGGTTTGTTCCTCGTTTAAAGGAAAGACATTGGTTTACGAAAGTATGGTTTGCAGTTAATATTTCAATTAATAGTAATTTGTTTGCTTGATTTGGTTTTGCGTAACATCGACACAGTATTGGTCATATACCGACGTTACAGCTTTACGGGTGTAGGAAACCCTAGGTTGCTCATATCACGGGGGAGGAAGTGTTACACGAAGGATGGAGTTCTTATGATAACTTGTTCAGGAGTTCTTGTGATAACTGTCACGGAGTTCGTATGAAAACGTCTGTATATACTACAAATTACTCGTTAAAATGGTTATTTTCATCTTTCAAAAAAGAGTTTAAGGTGCTAAATTAAACTTTAATGATTAAGCTTGTCTTACATCTTGTATTATGTGTCATATACTAATTCAAAGGCCATTTTCAATCGCCTCTTGCTTCAAATCTGGTAGTTTTAAGTAAAAATTTCAAATTATTTGCCAATTCACAAGTATTGACCTGTTTATTTCTGGTCTTCATCCTTGCCTTACATAATTACCTAATTATAATGCAAATTGCAAATTAAAGCACCGGCTAACAGATTTATACCCGATTTTTCAAATGTCCCGGAGTTCTTGTGATAACTCTGAAGATGTCACAGAGTTCTTATGATAACTTTTGTTATTGCCAGGGTGTTTCTTGCGCTAAATCACGGCACGTTTTAGCGTTTTTTATTATTCAATGAGATTGTAAATCTTTATGAAATGAAGTACGCTCATCCTATGCGCACAAAAATAGGATATATAATGTTGGTTTTGAGTGAATTTTAGTTCAAGAGATATTATTTCTTACCCCCGTTTCTTTTTCATAGTATTTTTTTTTGTTTGACGCCGATTTCGTAGATTGGAAAAAGGATTTATGTACTGGTTTCCTAGCAGTTTCCGGCCTCTAGCAGTATTCTGGCCCTTTATCATTTTCATCCAGGCATAAAGACTTTTTTCTCAGTTAAGCGTCTATGTCCATCAATCAGAGAAACATTTGTTTTCTATGTAAAACAGCAGTTATAACAGTACAGCGACATTTACAAGCAACACCTTGCGAATTCTAGTTTGAATGCCCATGCACAATAACTGAAATCCCATTCCAGGTAAATCACTACAATATATTTGCAGACGACACGAAAAAGTTTGGGAAGTTATATCTACATGTATTTGTAAAACCCAGCTTAACATTGCTTATTTGTACTGAATTACATGTATATTCAAAATAAAAAAAATCTGAAAAACTGCTAAAATGTGTGCAAAGGTGTTACATCTCAGGCGTTTATTCCATTAAAATGTAAAATAAAAGAGCAACATTAAAACATGGTAATGCTGTACCTAACTTGGTTTCGTCAAAGTTTGCACTCTTCGGTAGACAGATTTTTATTTTATTTGTTAAAAAGTGCGATTTGGGACCGGGAACTGCTATGAAACCAGTAGGGCATTTATGTATGTGATAAAATGCGCTTTGAAATACTTAGTACTCAAATATGGTATTTTCATGTATATTTTTCTGTCGATGTTTGATGGGATTTCCCCTTTGTAATCTTAGCGGAGGAAACGCTGCTACTTTTGCTGTAATTTATAACAAAAATATATAGTCAAACTTAGTTCGCTCGAACCTGGAGGAACGTTCGAATTTGTTCGAGAGATCGGTAGTTAGAGCCAACCGCATTTGAGTTTTTATCATGTATCGTACTTTTTTAAGACATAGGTGTGGAAATTATTCCTGGTTATATACTTATTTATTATGGTATAAAATTATACAAAATACTTAGCCCTTAGGTAGGGAAGCATCCCTATATATTGTTTGCTTAAGAAAAGTGGTTGCTTAAAACATGTGAAACTGAGAACAACGTGTACGTTTTGAGACATTTTTGTTTTGTGGTTTAAGCCATTATACTGCTGAATATTTGTGGCCGCTGGTTCAATTTTTACTGTAGATGATAGCCTATCACCTATTTATCCTTTGCAGACACTTAAGACCAACGTTTTATCCACATTTTTGTGCAAAGGATGATCGTACTGCATTTCTTTGCAATTTTGCATTATAATTATGCAATTATGTATGGCAAGGATGAAGACCAGAAATAAACCAGTCAAAACTTGTGAATTGGCAAGTTACTGAAAACTACCAGATTTGAAGCAAGAGGCGATGAAAAATAGCCTTTGAATTAGTTTTTGACACACAAAGTTTAATTTAGCGCCATAAACTCATTTTTGAACGATGAAAATAACCATTTTTGACGAGTGTTTTTGTAGTATATACAGATGTTTTCCGACGAAATCCGTGACAGTTATCACAAGAACTCCTGAACAAGTTATCATAAGAACTCCATCCTTCGTGTAACACTTCCTCCCCCGTGCATATGTATATGCATTATTTCAGGCACGAACGGGCACCCAGATCGGTGAGGGGCAAGCGGACGCCCCAATTAAAAGTTGTTAAAATTATTGTATAAAACCTTTTGAATTATAACTAGATTAAGGATACCATTAGTCTTCCAGTCTTCGTCATTATCATAAAGTCAACTTTATTGTTTCTAAGTTTTTTGTATGGAGTCAAAAAACTACTTTTTTACATTGTGCTAGCTTTATGACATATTACGTTTAATGCTAATTTCTTCATTTGTTAATCGTCCTACATGCTCTAAATTCATTAATAAAACATTTTGAGGGTTGTCCCAATATTATGTGACAAGATTGATTAAAAGCTAAATGAAATAGGTACGAATTTGATATTTTAATATGTTATAACCCCATATAATTGAAACATTTTCACAAATTTACACAGAAAAATATCAACAAACAACAAAAATATGCCATCAAAACCATGACAACTAACTGATTCGCGGCGCACGTTAAACATCAAAGGCGACGTTAAATCTATATCAGGCGTCTTCTCAAATACTCTCAATGGCTTTCAAAGCAATAATGGTACCCATAAATCGTCAATTACAGATTTAAATCATGTGGTTATTAATGTCTGTTGCATGTTTGGATGGCATACATTAATTTTTGCTATACACGAACTTCCGGTCTCCTTGCACCTGCTTTTAGCTGTAGGAAATAGGCGACGAAGATCGGTCTTCCTATCCGTGTTTTCCTTATTTTCGCTTTTTGTAGCGCAAAACTCTGGTTCCGTTCATGCCTTTAGTTAACAAATGCTCAGGAAATGTTGCTAAACTGTTCTATTTGGTATATTTGTTAAAAATCGTAACATGTGTCATCTCGAAATAGTCATGAAACCTGAGTTACCTGTACACTGCGCCGCAAATTCTTAGAACGTCGCCATTTTAACTTTCCTATTTTATATGAGATATTTTCATTTATTCGTATCTTTTTCGTTTCTTAATTTATTTAACTAAAATTTTCTGAGATGATATTAACATAGCAGCAGAGGAAGTCAACATGACATTGTGCAGACACATCATCAGATATTTAAAATATACGTAATTAATTTTAGCCTATTCATAACAAAATGCAAATTATTTGACGTGCGCCGGCAACTCAACCCATGGTCGTTAATATTGAAAATTTCTAAGTAACTAGAGTAAATATTTTGTAAATGATTTGTTGTAATGTTAAATAATAAAATTAACGGTTATATGTGTAAATTATTTTCAATTGGCGTTAAAAATGAACCGTCTATAAAATTTGTCACGGACTTTTGGGACAACCCTCGTATGTTTGACATTTTTGAAAAAAGGCATAAGCTGCCTTTAATATGAGTTTACCCGACGTAAGTGAGTTAATCAAGATGTCAATAAACGGACGTTATTTCACTGTATTTCAGATGCCATGTCCACATGGATGCAATTTTGGAGAAGTATGTGAACAAAATAAATATGGACATGGAATGTGTGTTATTAGAGGTAATTCCTTGTGCACTTATATATATATATATTGTCAGGTACAATCTACTGTAAGAACACTTACATAACATCAGTCTTGACATATCCTGTATAAGCGGCCAAATTTTCAAGCGCGAAAATCCGTATGTAAGATATAGGACGGCTACGTACCAAAGATACAATATTCCAACATTTGATATATTTAGAGGAATATTTTAATTTCCAATCATTTTGCAAATTAAAAAAAAATCAAAGTTTTCTATGGAAATGTCCTTTTGCCTAATGTTGAGACATTAATTTGATCTAAAAGTATTATTCAAAATCTGTAGATGCATTGGTGCTTAAAAATTCTACAAAATGAAGTTTAATGACTAGAGTTATGAAATTATATAAGTTAGATCATGAAATATCAATCTCGCGTTATTTTAATGTTCTAAATATAAAGATGCATAAGAAACCTTGGCATATCCTTACATAAATTATTTGTTTGTCACTGTGATGTGCTTATATGTCAGAAAAAAAAGGAAACGCCTTGTCTCGGACTCGAACTTGCGATCCCACACTATCAGAAAAAGTGACAACGCTTTAGACCAGGGCCAAAGAATCGATAATCTCACCCTCTTGTGCACGCCACCGTTACAAAATTGTATTTAATTTTTCTTGAAGATGCCTGTTGCATTGCTCTACCACAATGTTATTGCTGTTTTTTATGCTTCCGTGGGATCACTTTTAATCGGATATTATACATTTGCAGCCGTAGAAAGCTGCCAAGTACTTCACTTCAGTGTTGTTATATTTTTTGGTCCTTCGGAATCATTGACTCTAGCACCTTTAAGTGTTGGGAATTGAGCACCGCTCTAGCCGGTGCCAGGGGACGTGAAAAATGTTGCTCTTTTCATTATCTCTCATGTACAGACTCAATCAAACCGAGTCTGCGATTTTCATGTAAATTTGCTGTTTTTGATGCTTCCGAGGGATCACCTTTTACCGGATATTATACATCACAATAGCAGGTGTCAAGTGCTGTGTTGCAGCAGTACAAAGCTGCCACGTACTTCACTTCAGTGTTGTTTAATTTTTCTGGTTCTTCGGGATCACTGACTCCAGCACTTTTAAGTGTTGAGAATTGCGTACCGCTCAAGCCGGTGCTAAGTCGCGTGAGGGATGTTGCACATTTCATTATCTCTCATATACAGACTCAATCAAACCGAGACTGCGATTTTTATGTAAATTTGCTGTTTTTGATGCTTCCGATGGATCACTTTTTTACCAGATATTTATTCAGCATGTCCCTCCATTGCATTTATTGGTTTAAGCACTTTGATAAGATCAGATGTTTGTTATTCCGTAGACTTTCATATGCTGACGATGTGAAAAACAAAGACGCCTGTTATTGATGAATTATTGAAATTTCAATTAATAGCTTATCAAACTCTTTTGACAGACCTTGAAATTCTTTTTATATTACGTGCTGAACTGTATCCCTCCCGGCACAAATGTAAACAACATGGACGTAAACCCCCAAAATAACTATAACTCAAGAAAAGCTATAAATTTTCCACAGTTTCAAAGATTTATTTATTCAATATACATACTCTGTTCCGACATTTAGTCCAAAAATATCTTTCGTTTGCTTTGAAATTATTTGGAAAGCCATGATGTATGTGCGTTTGTATGGGAAAGGACACAAAGACTACTTTACGATATTATACATGTATATATTAGCCTTTAGTCTAGAAATTGTCAAACGTTTTCCAATCGAGCGGTTTACTGCAGGGTTACATATTGCTTGTTATATCAAAGTCATTGTCTCATAAAAATGCTTGTTACATTATAATTCCTGCTCTTCCGTGTCAGTATATCATACATTTCACCACAGATCTTTTCCCTATTAATATGTAACGGTCGAATTTCCATTAAGTTTTAATCTGTCCCTATTTTAAAAGATATCAAAGTATTATAAAAAATATTTATTGCATAATTTTAAATTGATCAATTGACTCTTAATCATTTATTTACACTTTTGATTGATTATCCATTATTGTAATCATGGGATGATCGGCAAATTGAATTTCAGTTATTGTAAAAGCATTACCGAAAGTACATGCAGTACAGTGCCAGGTCACGTTCCTTGCAGGCTGATGCTCATCTTTTTATTGATTGACCTTAAAAACCCTTAACCTTTTAACGGAATGTTCTATCTTCAGCTGTGGGCAAATCCATTGTACAAATTTAGCACGTTATACATTATTCATGTTGCAAGCATCGATTTGTCAAGATGTCTAAATGGAACTATTATAAATTATTTTTTATGTAATATCATGTATTTTTCTCATGTATATTATATAATTGTTTATATTATGTAATTGTTTACACTCTAAACCGCAGTTTTGATTGAAACATTGTATTTGTATTGTTTACCATTTCAACTGTTTTTAGTCAATCTGTATAATTTAGACAAATATCTAATACAGATTTACTAAAAAGCAGTTGAAATGGTAAAAAATACAAATACAATGTTTCAATTAAAACAGTGGTTAATATTGTAAACGATTACATAATATACATTTATAAACAGGAAGCGTGGGATGATAAGTTGGCGGACATGCCAGACTAAATCCAACACAAAGATGATAATAAATAAATTAATTCTTTCAAATTTGACGGACAAGATATCCTGCTTGTATTTCACGGGTGTTGAGCACTAGATCTCAACATTTGTATATAAGTCACCCAAAGTTTTTAATAATCAACATTCACTATCAAATTATATTCGACCAAGAATAAAAGTTGTGTTTTAAATAGAATTTGAATTTACGAATTTTGTATTTGGTTTACAGTTTCCCACCCCATTCAAGAAGCGTTATAACAGAACACTCGCATACTTTATTATGAAATGTTTGCCGAGTGTACAATTTGTTTGCTGGTGTACGCCTTTAATTTTAAACTTTAAAAAAACTTCCTTAAAGATATACTTTGTTTAAATTTGATATTAGAAAATTTTGATAATTTCTACACAGTCTCTTTGTAAATAGAAAATAAACATGTTTTGACTTCACACGAAGTAGATAGATTATGTTTAAAATTCTTAACACTATAGGTGGTCACAATTTGAATATATAGTGTCATTAAAAAACTGGCAGTTTGTTTTAAAAAAAGGATCAATTTTACTTTACCTGTAGTAGGGAACGCAGCTTCCCATACATAGTTTCTTCATTCGTTTCCTTCAAATTGGACATATTCTATAAGAATTTAATAAATTTCAATAAATTTCAATAAATTTCTGTGATAAAAATATCTTACTCAAGGATGAACATAGAATATCTTTAATCTAGCTAAATACTTAGTAAGCACAATAGACTGGATTTATAACATGATTGAAACAAAACATTATATTCACGCATATTTTAACCTTTTGAAATGGTATGAACATTGAAAAAATAGCTTCTTTTATAGTTGTAATTAATATCTTTGTAAATAATTGATATCATTCTATTCAAACGGATTCAAGACTTAAATTGTAATCGACGTTCAGCGAAAGTTTTCTCAAATTTCTGTAATGTAATAGGTTTTTACATGCGGACACAAATCAGCCTGTTTTATTTATTCTAAATAGGTGTCAAAGTATTGTTTATGAGACAATGACAAAAGCCTTTATGATCAATAACAGCAATAAAGTCAGCTTTGCGTCTCTCTGAATCTTCAGTTACAATATGTAGTTCCATGAATGATCTATGAAATATTCATAAATAGTCCCCAGCACTGCCTTTAAACAATTATCAATTCCTGAATGCCAATTTCAACCGTTTTATAATTAACAATGCGTGAAATGATTTCTTTGACATGTGACATTGAGACGCATAAAAGTACCGGCATAATTTAAGTTGTTGGATTTAAACAAGTTAAAGTTATAATATAGTGAATAGCTTTACAGGCGAGCGATCAGCAAAAATGCTTATGCGTCTTTTGTTAAAATTTGATGAAACATTTAAAGACAATAAACATACTGAAACATAAAAACATATCTGGAACAAAAAACTACAAGCCCCATCCAACTGCTCCACACTTCCCATTACCCCCCCCCCCCCAATCAAAAATACTAAATTCGGGATAATTGTCCTCAGTGATCTGTTTAAAACATCGTTATATACCTTTTATTAGTATAAATTTAATTGAATCGAATGTCATATATGTCAAATTATTTGACATCTTTCCCTGTTACTTTTTAATGCAAATTTTGTTACAATTACTTTTTTAATATCATTAATTTACACATTGTCAATATATTTCATTGTTTATCTTCAAGTAATTTAGATAATATTTTCACTACGTGATGATTTTCTTGTAATCAAAATCAGGAAGCCGGCGATGTGCACTGGACACAAATATAATTATTAGGTCAGTGTTTGCAGATACAAACGTAATGTAAAACTCTGACAGTAAAATGACCGTCCTCTTATTGGCGATTCTTATTGCATTGAAGTTATTTTTCACACCATATTTACCCTTTCATTCGTCCATATTACTACAGGGTAGACTTTTCATATATAAGGCATGTTGCTTTATAATTTAATTGTAGAATGTGTGAATGGAACAGTTCCCGAACACGGTACTATTCTCGGTAATCAGATGGAAATTGGAAAAAAGATCAGATACAGGTGTGATACTGGTTACAACGAGCCAAATATCTCCTTTGCAACAGTTGCTGAATGTTTAGATACTGGCGCATGGAGCTTCAACACTGAATGTTTGAAAAGTATGTTCAAATCAGTACATTTGCGGCCTCATTTCCCGAGTTGTTAACTTTGAATCACTTGTAACACCTATTTTATGTCAGATAGCTAGCTACTCAGCTGGCTTAAGGAAGGTCACTCGTTTGACTTAGCCGTCATCATACTTTATTTAGCAAACTTGATAAAAGAGAAAACAATTAATAGATTACATTTCAATATATCATGTCAAGAATATAAGGCGATTTTAAAATAATTGATTTATCTATGCTGGGTTTGTAAAAAAATGTAATTACTCCTACCTGATATACAGAAAAGTATCTATAGACAAGTATTATTTATTTAGTGGCTATGTTATTTCTTCTTATCAATGAAGGGTTATCGAAAAGTCGCATTTATTTGCAGGGTAATACATTTTAAAGGTGGTTTATTAAACACAATTGGCTGTATTTGCCTAACATAGTATCATACAAATATTCGTATCAGTTTAATATAACATTAGATTCATTTTCAATTACACTTACAGCTAATTATACTTGGGATTCATGGACCCCTTGGAGCACCTGTAGCTTAAGTTGTGGCTCTGGTATTCAAACCAGATCAAGGAGTTGTTCTATTCGTATAGAAGGAAATGATGAATCACAATGCCTCAAGACGGATGTTGGTGACGAGAAGCAAGCCTGCAATGATCAAACTTGTCCTAGTAAGTAAAACATATTGTTTATAATGGTAGACATGTAAAAGGACGATAAAACGGGAACATCACAACGAGGCAAGTTGTGTCTTGTTCATTGTGAACATTCCGTCCTATCACGTATTAGTGGGATAAAAGTAATGATAATAATTACAATGATTGTTTTGATTATAATTATAATAATTTAATAATAGTAAAAATGATGATGATAATAATAATAATAATAATAATAATAAAATAATAATAGAAATAATAAATAGTAATAATACTAATACTTATAATAATACTACTGCTACTGCTTCTGCTCCTGCTCCTGCTAGTAATGAAAATACTTATAACAATGATAATACTATTGATAAAAATTACAATTAATAATAATAATAATAATAATAATTTTGATAAAAGTAATAATAATAATAATAATAATAGTTATAATAATAATAGTAATAATAATAATTATTATGAATGTAATAATTATGATAATAATGAAAATATAAAAAATAGTGATAATAATGATAATTATAATAAAAGTCATCTGGCAGAATCGTGATAATGTCATCATCATTAAATAAATCAGATATTTAAAATAAAACGTTATATTTCAAGCACAGGAGGGGGAGTGGGGGAAGATGCCTGCACACAATTTTCTTTGATCTCCTTTTTTGTCCTTTAAACATATAATTCTATAATTACCATCTTTCATTTCTTGCAGTGTGCTTTTCCTTACAATTTGCATCAAAATAATATATATATATAAGTATATAAGTATGTGAAATTGTTTCGATACAAACGAAACGATATTATACTTTGCACTGTTTATTGAAATTTATTTTACTGCTCCATAACTTTGCATAGTACCAACACTTGGTCAAGTCTGCACAGATAGCACGGACTGTATAGAGGAAGGAGGAGTGTGCATTGAAGGAAAGTGTTTCTGTGACAAGTTGTACAAATATGATAGCCTACTAAATAACTGCACTAAAGGTAAGACTGTTTGGCTCAGATTGAGAACCATAACTGTAAGATTATTGTTATATGTCAAGTCAGAACTTGTGTTGTATTTGACAAAACATAACATAACTTGTCTTGTGTTTAACAAAGCATAACTTATGTAATGTTTAATAAAACAGAACTGATGTTTAACACATCAAAACGTGTGCTGTGTTTACCTTAAAATAACTTGTGGTGACCTAACCCTTAACCAGTTTTTAATTGATTCAATTTATAGATTTTTGGAAATTCAATCTTTCCTTTGACGAGGTACTTCTATATAAAAAAACAAATTTAAGCAATTTAAGAGTAGAGCATTGTCTAATGTGCTGATCTGTTACAATGCCAATGTCGATAACAAAGACTTTTTATTAATTTCCTAGCAGTTTAAAGGGTAGTATAATTATAATTATAGTTATGATATGTAACGAAAGATGGTTTAAGATGTTTCGGTGAACTTTGCCTTGTCTTTCTGGTCTTTGTTCTCATTAGTTTGGTTGGATTTTACGTCAGACCAACACAGTAGTGTGGGAGTAGAACCACCGAAGTTTTTATAAGCTAGCTCGACACCTTATTTTAATATTTAATCACTGAAACAAATAATACTGGTCTTGTCTTTAATAAAGTGCTGACGAATGATTTACATGATTTATATAATTATACCTTAACTTTCAATAAAAACAGCAGTATTTTATAAATTGATATGGGACTATTTGCAGATTTTTTATTTGGTTTAAATTTCAGTGTGCTCGGATATGTCCGACGAATTTACAAAATATGACAATAAGGCTATTTGGGGATTCAACAGTGGTGGTCCTAATTTGCATTTTAACACAGTAGAAGAATGTAGAGTTTCGTGTTCCAACAACCCTTCTTGCCTTTCCTTCGAAACATGGCCAGCAGACAATGGCGGCATAGGATGCACTACAGGATCAGTAACATCTGATATGATTGAAACAATTAATCCACAACTTTTTCACTATCCACCGGATACAGATCTATATTCGAGGAAATGTATTTAACTGCAAATGATATACGATGGATATCGCAATACTAGTTTATGTAGTTAGTTACACGGATATATGGTGAATATTGCAATACAATTAATTGTAAAATTGCAAAGGATATATGGTGAATTTTGCAATATTTGTAACTGAAATTATCAACGAAGAATATTAAATTTGCCTTAAATTGAATATACCGTCTACAAAATTGCTGTATTGTTAATCAGACATTTTATTATTAATTAATAGTTTACTTAAATACATCAATGATATTTGAATGCGTCCTGCGCATCTTATTCAGGCACGAACGGGCACCTTAGCAGACCAATCGAAGGTTCTGCATGCTACTTGGATATCTTTCTAACATGAAAGAATCCGAAGTTCCTATCGGGATCGAACCAACAGCGTTGAAATGCATGTGGTTTGTAATTAATGACCTGAACCACTTGGCCATAGGCGCCGAAAATATCTGAAGGTAAATTGACTTCAATGTATATGAATGGTTATAAAAATCCTACTGAATAATTCGAATTTAGTTTAGAATTTCTAAAACACTTTGTATATTAGGCTTTGATATCATGACTATTTGAACACAATTTAGATGACTATATTGTTGTACTTGGTATATGCTAAAATCTTTAGGTCCCTTTAAATTAATAATTATGATGTCAATATTACAATAAAAAGAAATGTCTGCTCATTTTCGAATCAATACCTAATGTTATGTAAAATATAATCCTCTATTCATCCTCTTATCAATAATTAATTTGAAGTCACAAAGAGTGTTTTATAGACTGAATCAAACCGACTCTGCAATTTCCATTTAATTTTGTTGCGATGAATGCTTCCAAGGGATCACATTTTATCCAGATATGTATACATCACAGCAGCAGGTGTCAAGTGCTGTGTGGCAGCTGTAAAAAGTTGTCCCATACTCCACTTCAGTGTTGTTATATTTTTCTGATCCTTACGGATCATTGCTAATAAATTATGTTTAAAATATATATGTCCACTTTCGAATAAAAATATTATTTTATAAAATATGCATGTACATATTTTGTTCATGCAATAATCAAGTTGTTTTTTGTTTTATTTTCTTCCATATATTTCAAAAGAATATGACATACGACATTTTCTGACTATATATAAAACACCTGCTATACTTAAATCTACATTCACTAACCACATTCATTCTGATTCCAAATAAAAGAAATTGAAAATTGAATGAGAAAATATATCATATCATTATGCTATTAAACAAAACTTTACCCGACAAAATAAATAAAACACTAAAAAATAAAGAAAACAAGGGGGCATTGAACCCAATGTGCTCACCTGAGTACTAATTGCAATTGATATACAAAAGTGAAGTTACCAGGTCTTAAATCCAATTTTGACCCTAGGGCTATAATTTGAACAATCTTGGTAGAGTTCCAGTACACAATGCCTCATGCCAAATATCTCACCTTTGTCAATTCAGATGTCAATTTTTTTTATAAATTTTACAATATACATATATGGAAAACCTATGACCCCCGGGGCGGGGCTTATTTTGACCCAAGGGATATAATTTGAACAACTTTTGTAGAGGCCCTATAGATAACTAGAAGGGTTTTTGTTACAAACACATTTGTCTCCCAAAACTATGTATGATTACTCATGTGAAGTTTCATTGAAATCCCACCAGTAGCTTGACCTGTGACAGCCAGGCAAGATTTTTCTATTTTTAGCTCTGACAGCCATTTTGTGCAGCAAAGCAGAACATGCCAGTGACTTGCACAACAAGGGATGGTACTGATCACTCCTGTACAGTTTGGTTGAAATCCTACCAGTAGTTAATCTGTGAAGGTCAGACAAGATCTTTCTATTTTTAGCTCTGGCGGCCTATTTGTGCAGCGAAGCGTAACACGCTGGTGATATGCACAACTAGGGATGGTACTGATAACTCCTGTAAAGTTTGGTTGAAATCCCACAAGTAATTTAACCTGTGAAGGGCGGGCAAGATTTTTTTCTATTTTATGCTCTGGTGGCCATTTTGTGCAGCGAAGCGGAAAGTGCGGTTGATGCTCACAACTAGGGACGGTACAGATCACTTTTGAAAGTTTGGTTAAAATCCCACCAGTAGGTTGACATGTGAAGGGCGGACAAGATTTTTCTATTTTTAGCTCTGGCGGCCATTTTGTGCAGCGAAGCAGAACGTGCGGATGGTGTGCACAACTAGGGATGGTACTGATTACTCCTGTAATGTTTGGTTGAAATCCCACCAGTATTTTGACCTGTGAAGGGCGGACAAGATTTTTTTTATCTTTTTATTAGCTCTGGCGGCCATTTGTGCAGCGAAGCAGAACGTGCGGGTGACGTGCACAACAAGGGATGGTACTGATCATTCCTGTAAAGTTTGGTTGAAATCCAACCAGAAGTTTGACCTGTGAAGAGTGGAAAAGATTTTCTATTTTTGGTTCAGGCGGCCATTTTGTGAAGCGAAGCGAAACGTGCGGATGATGTGCACAGCTAGAGATGGTATTGTTCACTCCTGTAAAGTTTGGTTGAAATCCCACCAGTAGTTTGACCTTTGAAGAGCGACAATATTTTTCTTTCCTTAGCTCTGGTGGCCATTTTGTGCAGCGAAGCGGAACATGTCGGTGATGTGCATAACTAGGGATGGTACTGATCACTCCTGTAAAGTTTTGTTAAAATCCCATCAGAAGTTTGACTTGTGAAGGACAGACGGACGAACGGACGGTCGGGCGGACGGACGGACGGACAGACGGCGAAGGCAAAATAAATATGTCTCCCAAAATATTTGGCAGACATAATAATATATACCAAATATCTAAGCTCTAAGCCTTGTACCTTCAAACAAGAAGCATTTTTAAGTTTTAAATAATTTATATACATACTAGGGAAACCTATGACCCCTGGGGTGGAGCCAATTTTGACCCCAGGTCTATAATTTAACCAACTTTGGTAGAGGACCTAAAGATAATATTATATACCAAATGTTTAAGCTCTAAGCCTTGTACCTTTAAACAAGAATAATTTTTTTACTTTTTACTTTATACATATAAGGAAAATCTTAACCTGGGGAGGGGCTAATTTTAACCCCAGCGCTATAATTTGAACATCTATGGTAGAGGATCTATAGGTGATATCATATACAAAATATCAAAGCTCTAGGCCTCGTACTTTTAGACAAGAAAATGTTTAAATTTTGCATTTTTTAAACCCTTTTCTGGCCCTGTAACATACTTATTCAACAGACCGGAACCATTTGAACAACTTTGGCAAGGGACCACCCTAGGATCATTCCTGTAAAGTTTGGTTGATGTGCGGTCATTGGTTTCTAAGAAGATGTTGTTTAAAGAAAGGTTGATGACGCACGATGCACGACGCTCGACGACGGACGACGGTCTGTGAGTTAAAAAGAAAAACAATAAAATAAAAAAAATAAAAAAGAACGATGCAAAAAAAACCTCCAAACAGGGAAAACAACAATAACAAAAACACATAAACTAAAATACACACACGCATATACTCACAAACTCAACCAAACACAACTTGAAGGTAAGAGACAAGCGAATAAATAGTTTCATTCAATTTCATGCATTAAATTATTGAGTTTTACGGTTTTAATTTTGATATTGTGTTTGTTTTTATCACCGATGGTGTTAGTGCCATTTGACCATACAATATTCCCCTCAATATGTATCCTTAATGTTAGCAAAAAACGTTTGTTTAATAGTATAATGATATGATATACTTACATTACTACTCATATAGCTGTAAGCTATGTCTTTATTAAAAATTGAATACCAATTGACACGAGAAAAGGAATGCAATTTTGACCATACGTTTTGAATGAACAAAATTATATTATTATATATAAGTAGATGATGAAGTTTTTCTCAATGGCTGCAACAAAATCACACGCATTTCAATTGCATAGATTGTATATGTTTAACAAATATAGTGTTTGTTGCAATAAATCTATAGAAAAACTTGTACTGGAAATTAAGAACTGTTATTTTGATAACCAAATAACATTTATTCGACAGATCTAAAATGGAAATATTTTCAAGCTACTAGTATTTAATATACGATGGAACATTTTTTCTTTATTGTTAAAATGATTATTTTCGAAACTCTTTACGAAACATCATGTCAGTTGCATACTTAATTTGCTCAACATACCATAAGTTTTTATCAATCTTTTCTGCTAGTTATTGTTTTATTTAATTTGTATTTCGTTGCCCCCGTTTACCTTTAAATACTTAGTCATTTCGCATTTTATTAAAATTACTTTTAAAAACGTTAGAGTCAACGTGCTTTTTGCCGTCCTTTTTATGTATTAATGTTTGGGATGTGTAATTTAGTTGACAATGAAAATACATAAAAATTGCATTACACATAAAAGCTTCCAATGTAATGTTTCATTAATAATGCAAAAGTAGTTGGCTGCAAACAAAAGGCACTCTGTACAGGTATTTGTTTCCCTGTTTTGCATAAATGAAATTGTCGTTCCTATTTCGAGGACTGTAGGATTAATAATTTGAATACTAAAGCATTCATGTTGCTATGCTACTGCATTGAACTATTATTCAGTGTCAAACATTTCTGTTGGATTAGGCATAGTGGAATACCTGTGATCAAGATGTGTTTTTCAAATTACATTGTATTAAAATGTTTTTGAAAATGATGAAATGCGAATTGATTTCATTGCTTGTTTTTCAAACAGTTATTGCTGCAGTAAATGTGAATATCAACAATTTTGAATTAGAGTATTTTGTAACCTACGAAAATTGGTGTAAATCTGACAAAGACAGATTTCAGTTTATAATTGGAATATCTATCGAACAATGTGTGGTAGAGTGTGGTGCACGGGGCCACTGCAGTTCCCTTAACTATAGAAATCAAATCAACGGATGTGAGCTGTTCCTTACTTCAGAAACGGAGCAGCCAATTCCCGGCGAGTGTGTCTATGTTAAAAAAGACAACATCAACGTGACGAAAGTATGTTATAGTTTACATTTCTTTGTTAACCGTATCCTTACAAATTCTTCTTTACCATCTGTTACTCTTCGTAAAATTCCAAAACCATATATTCACTTGTTGAAAAAAAAATCAATATAGGCATCACGTCTAAAATGCATATATCAATAAATTCGAATGCTTATAGTACACAGATGACATATTTCTTATTAATTTGTTTTCAAACTTCGAATAAAACATATGTAAATTGCAAATAATAATAATAAATAATAATAATAATAATAATAATAATAACAATAGAAATAAATGAAATTATGAATAAACTGAATGCATTATAAAGTGTATGTGTATTACAAATGACATCATCCTAACATGTATTGTTGGGTGAAAACAATTTTAGCTTTAATGTTGTCACGCTTCATGTGATTTATTATTTTTAATTTATGTTATATTTATTTCAGAAATAAAATCTTAACCTTGCCAAATTTATATTATTTAATGTTTCTACTTCAGCCAAATTTATATTATTTAATTTTTCTACTTCAGGGATTAAGATTTGGTTTCAACCGTTCGTTCTTTTATCAATTTTCATGCCGTGTCATTTGTATCTCTAAAAGTGCTTCAGCTAGAGTCAATAAACTTTGCAGGCAAATATATGCTATCCTGCTGTATGTCACTAGACAGTTCAATGTGGGGGCAACCGCATCCTATGGACATATTTCTAACTGTTTTGAAATTGTGTTGAAAATATACAAATACATGCTTTTGAACCTTCCCTTAACTTTTTAATATCATTGCAAAGAAACGAATTATTTTCACCTTGTTTTCTTAATAAAAGGGTTTAGAATTCGTCAACGAGCATAACTGTCATGAATTACACGATTTTGTTTTACTCCTAATCATGAGAATTATGCCTGTTTGTATTTGGCAGGAAAATATTCTATTTCTTTTACTCCAAAACTTATGAATTGTGTATTTTGGTAATGGCGGGAATTTATTTCACTTATGAATTACTCCATATCATGATATTCATGACTCTTTAAATTGGCGGGAAGCAACACTATATTAATTTAGTGAATTACAATCTTTATTTTGGTAGAAGCGCAAAAGTGTAAACGAAGTAGAAGTGAAGTGCAGAAGTGTTAAAAAATGTCGTTAAAAGGTGATTAAAAAGTATAATTGGATGTCAAAGTGAAAAATAAAATCTGAATTTAAAAGTGAATTTTGTTGTCTTCAATGTAGTAAAAGTTAAAAGAAAATTAAAAGGAAAATGTTTAGAAAATCTGCTACAATAACAATGTAAATAAACCTTTATTACTCTTGATTTTAGACATTTTTTAAAACACATGCTTTAGATGAAACTTTGCTAGATATATTTTAAATGCTTTGAATAATCAATTTGTCTGATTTTAGAGTCCTTGTCAAGACGGTTGTGCTTACGGGCAGGTCTGTGAATCAACAAGTTCTCAAGGGGGAATGTGTAAAATAAAAGGTAAATATTTATCATTACACGATTATTATACATATTTAATTTCCATTGTTTCCCACTTGTGGCTGATGGGTTGCTTTTAAGGGTTGAACATCAGAATTGCACCCCGTTTCGTAATAGGCGACTGAATAGGTTCGAATTACCGGAATCTATGCATTTCTTAGCTTCAGCAGGTGAGCAAGCTTTAACTTATTTTGTTGTTAAGTGATTTTTTCGTGAGTTAGCTATTTTATTAGATGTATTTAGGTATTTTGAAACAAGCGTATCGAAATCAAGTAGAAATGAAATCAAATTTTATTATTATGCCCCTAAAAAAGTGGAAAGACCCAAATTCCCCCAATAAAAGTTTTTATAACGTTTAAAAACGTGATCTGTTTTAATTGATAAACCTTTTTAATCAAGCCCTTTCCGGGGCTCAAAAATCGGGATTTAAAATTTTAGATGGGCACAAAAAAAAAAAATCGAATAACAACAATTTTAAACTGTTTGTGAATTTTTAAGTTTCTTACTGTTTAAAAATTATTTTTGACCCCTTTCCCGGGTTATTTTGCGAAAAACTTAAAAATGTCCCGGGCGCGAGAAAAAATGTGTCGGGAAAAATTGTATAAAAGTCGCGGCTGATAGAAACTCTTTTTTTCTGTCTCACTCTGTCGTAAAAAGCCATGTTTACGAAGGGAAGGGTGACACTTTCTGTCTACATAGTAGACTAAGACACACAAAAAAAAACATATGCCTATTTTAGGTAGCCAATTGCGCCCATTAAAATCTGCGATATTTTCGTTTCATGCATACCTTGTAAAAATCCGTGTTTGAGCAAAAGGCCGCGACTTGTTATGCGTTAAAATGCCTCTTTGAAAAAAATGCGGCTATTACTCGCCGCGATATTATGTGAGACCGTTGATGAGGAACAAAATGTCGCGGGCTATAATTATTCCCCTCAAATTATTTGTTGTTTTACTTCTCTTTTTTTATTTTACAATAATTATCATGCGATTTTTTGAATATATATATACAATCAATATAAATTACATTTTACTTCATAAGTTCTTGTTTGTTATGATTTAAGAATGTATCAACACTACGGCCCCTAAAAATGGTGCAGTTCTTGGGAATCTAAGGGGAGTTGGAAACATGATTCGTTACATGTGTAATCCCGGATACGAACCAAAAAACGACGGTCAAAAACCGGTAGCTGAATGTCTTGACAACGGGCAATGGAGCCATGTAACAGAATGTGTAAAAAGTAAGAATATATATTATCATACGTTCCTAGTAAGTAACACTTTTGACCTGTGAGCACTGATAATATTGATGTTAGATATTCTGGCCCCGTGTTCACAAAGATTTAAGGATCAGGATCAAGATCAGGATCAAATTTATAAAAACCCTAATATTCTTGATTGTTAATCCTCATAGATAAATATCTTATTATAAATTTGATAAAACTGGACTTGAAAAGCAAGTATATGAAATTTTAGAATAAATTAATTGTTAATTTTGCAAGATATGGGTATTTTACAGTTGATCCAAATATTGATCCTGATCCTAAAACTGATCCTTATTTTGATCCAAATATTTTTGTATTTGTCTTGTTATTTGATGATTTTATCCCAAAAAAGTTAGTTTTCTTTGCAAATCAGCATATTTTGACATTTTGAATATTTACAATTTAAATCAACAAGACACAAATAATTTTAGTAACATTAAACAGTGAAAATAAAACCAGGATCACTTGATCCTGATCCAGATCTTATCTTAGTGAACACGGGGCCTGGTGACAATATAAAATACAAAGGATAGTAATCAAAACTTTAGAAATAACATTTTAAATGATGAGAATTATATAAAGAGAAGAATGTGGCGTCTATTATGAACACATTCCATTGTAAACTCATGTAAAAAGAACAAAATAAAAAAATGTGAAAATGTGATCAGAATCACGCATAGTTAAGTCGTATATTATAAAGGGTTAGTTTCATATTTATTCAGTACAGTTATAACGAAATTTCATTTAAAAACTGATTTAATTCACAATCATCTGTACTTTGGTTTAAAGCTAACTATACTTGGGCGTCGTGGTCACCATGGAGCACATGCAGTTTAAGTTGTGATTCCGGAAGTCAATCAAGAACGAGGGAGTGCTCTCTTCGCATAGAAGGCAACGGTGCATCTAATTGTGATAAAGGGGATGTTGATGTTGATAATAGTACTTGTAATAACCAATCCTGCCCTAGTAAGTAATAGCTTTTAATATTTAATATTTCATTCCTTAATACATGTAATACTGTACAGTCATTTTCAGGAATGTTTGTATGTTTTGTTCGTTTTTTTCTTCTTCTTTCTTTTTATATTTTTTTTTTAATTTGTATATTGAGAGCGTCCAGTGATACACAGGCTAAATTACACTAATTTATTTTGTAAGGTTTTATAGTAAGCATGTGTAACAATATGCCTTTAAAGTAACATCTGCACTTATTGTTATTGTTGTAATTGGTTTTAAGATTCTACTAGACCGCCTCCGTGGTCGAGGGGTTAGAGTCGATGACTTCTAATCCAGTTACCTCTCTGGCGTGGGTTCGATCCCCGGGAGATGCTTTGGTAGTTTAGCGCGGAGGTAGGTAGTTTAGTACTGGTGTAACTCTCCAGGACCGATGGTTAGGAAACTACCCGCCTATATGACTGAAATACTGTTGAAAAAGGCGTTAAATGAAACAAACAAACAAACAAACAAACTTACTAAGATTCTACTTATCGTACTCTAGAAGATATATTGATAAATTTCTGGATTATTGGAACGCCTACCTTACTAGTGATTGGTTAATTGATTTCTGCGTTAATATTATCGATATACAGTCCTCCCTTGGGGGAGAAGAGATCGAGAGAAGAGAGAAA